TAACTGAACTCAAAAGCGTAACTCTTGCACCATTTCAGGATGGTCTTTCCTTTTATGCCTAAAGGCCATTACCATCTGCCTGCCAGGAAAGCAACTGTCAAAAGATGGGCAGGGCCATTCACTCAAGGTCTGTTCACGTGCTTAATGAAGTAAAGTCCTTCTCGCGAAGGACTACTCCCAGAGCTAAGGTATCCACTGTGAAATGCTTGATTAAACTTAGTCACTTAACATTTTCATATACCTTCCCTTTTTGGGTGCTAGCAGTCTGGATGCTGCAGAACAGATTAAATATTCCAGTCAACATCTCCACACTCAAGCACCTCTCATCTCTTACAAACCACTACAGCATAGGCAGGAAAAAAATACCAAATAGTATAATTAAGGCCTTGAATATTTAACGAACCACTTGTTTTGTTTAGTCTCAGTCAACATCAAAAAGCCAAAGAATAAGCCAAACACAGACATTTCCATCACTACATTCTGCACAAAATAGTAATTTTTTTGAAGCAAGTTGCAGGCTTGAAACTGACAAGTACTCCACAAATCTATAAGCTGGCCTAAAGTAAACTCTCAACTCTTCATAGCGACTTCTATTTGTAAACCAGTACCCCTTCCTGCTCAATACACACCAACAGCTCTACCTCTTAGAGCTTTTATTTTTTACCTGTTTTCATCACTTCTGCAATCACCTTCATAGCAAATAAAATCTTATGCTTTCATCCTGCTTAACACAGCTTGAGCACCTCCATTTCTGTAGCAAGTGGCATGCCCCCCAAGATTCTGAAAGGTCTCTCTTTTAAACCAGCAATAAACACAGCTCAGGTTTTGCAGCATCCTTTCACAATGGCAAAAGTCATCCAACTGTGACAACTGAGACTGTCATTTGCCGCGCTTTTGGTATCTCTAGCTTGGCTGCTGCCTTGCTTTTGCTTTGTCCTGTGTTTGGAGAATGGAGGTTTTACAAAAGTTGTCTTTACTGATTGTCCACTGTCCTTTCTATTGCCTGCTTAGATCTCTTTGCTTGTTACTGTTTTCAGCTTTTAAGAAAAAATTTTTTAAAAAGTCTAAAATGAATTTACCTGAACTGATTTCCATTAGAAGCCTCTGCCTTTATGCTGGAGCAGTTTTCTCAGTCCATCGAAGAACAGTCATGTCTATCTGTCTATAATGCCACAGACAGTGACAAGCTAATATATCTCAGCTGAGGGATTTTTTGAAAATCTTTCATACATACTTTATATGGGAAATAGAAAGCATCTATGAAAGTTAACCTCAGAATTACTTCATTAACAAACTTAAAAATCACTTGAAATCTTTAAGGTTTCACAGAAAACATGATTTTTTCCCTATTAATATTGTTTCTCTATTCTTTTATAATTGCTCAATAACAGGATGAGACTTTGCATATGTAGAATATCAAAATAACATCTTACTTTAGATAGTTAAAATTAAATAAATGTCTCCACTTGAAAAATTTAAAGTGTTTGAGGTAGCCTGCAACTTTGCACTCTGTGTCAATCTAATTCTGAAATTTAGTACATCTTGGATGTTTTTTATGTTTTACATCTTCTCATCCAAAAGTGTAGAAAGAAGTTCTTCTATGAGCACCCTTTTGTTTGGCAGCAGAAATAATGAAGAGAGTTATTCTCATTCAAGAAATTCCTGTAATAAATTGGGTCACTCTTCCCATGGTCAGGGTCTGCACAGTGTGTACAGTGTGCGTGTATCAGAGATCTATTCAAAGCTGAACAACTCAGGATTTGCATAATTTAAAAAGATGTAAGATTATCTGTACTCTTCTTTCTTTCTTTACAGTGTTAGCTCTAATATATAGCATTTGAAAGGATACTTTAAGGAGCCTGAGTGAGTTTTTTACTGGGATCATAACAGAATTTTTCATCTCCTAGTGCAAAATGACTACATAAAATGACTATTTGAAAACAGCAGGACTATGTAGACTGCAAATGGAAATCTGAGTTTCTCATGACCATCTAATTTCTATTTTCCCTTTTCTGTATTTATTGAAAGTGCAAGTGCCACTATTTGAGTAAAGGGTTGATGCCCAGCATGTGTAAAGCTACTACTGAACTTCTGATTGGCTCTGAAATACATTTTCTCTGTTCTCTCCCCAGGAGCATTTTCAAGAGGCATTGAGAAAATTATCTTAGACAACCTGTTCTTTCCAGTTTTCAGAACCATTTTTGATGCAGTCAAATACATGCAAATGACATACAAAAATATTCTGTTTGAATCTTAAAAATTCTAGACATTTAGTCCAAAATGCCTCCATAGGAATTATATTTAGCCATTACAGGATGTAATTTTGTCCTTAGGGCCCCTCAGTGCTAGCCCTTAAGCTCAAATCGACAATACCAATAGTAAAATTCTTCAACTGCTTGATTAAGAGACCATAAGACAAGTGGAAGTCAGAACCTGTATTGTTTTTTTTTTTTATTTTGGCTGTTGCCTATATATGTACTCATTATTAGAAATACTCAAATAATTGTATGTTTGCTACAGAGAAAATATACCCAGTCTGTTACTGCAGAGTCCATAATAAGCTGCAAATTAATACACTGATTTATATCAACCACTCCTCACAATTTTGTACTGTCTGCAAATTCGCTGGGAATACTATCGGTCCCCTCCGCAAAGACCCGGTTAAAGACGTTAACCAGTGTTGGTCCCTGTATCAAGACTTGGGGCACACCAGTTCCTTGTCTCCAGCTGGACTTTGTGTCACTTATCACAACCATCTGAGTGCAGCTTCACTTTTCAATCCACCTCATTCTCCACTTATTTAGTCAATGCTTCATTGGTTTGTCCAAGAGGATATTGTGGGAAACAGTGTTGAAAGCCTTGCTGAAGTCAATATAAAGAGCACTGCTCTCCTCTCGTCCAAGACAGTCATGTCACCACAGAAGGTTTTCAGGTTTGTTGTTTTCCTCTTCATCAACCTATTCTGACTGCTCCCATTTACTTTCCTAATTTTCATGTATTTACAAATGTTTTCTAGGTTTAGTTGCTTCATAAGCTTTCTGGGGATCAAGGTGAAACTGACTTCCTGGTCATTTCCCAGATCCTCCTTTCTCTTTGCGAAGCTAAAAGTGATGTTTGCTTTCTTCCAGTCCTTGGGTATCTCCTCTGGTCACCATGATTTTTCAAGCATAATCAAGACTAATCTGAAGTGAAACCAGCGAGCTCCCTCAGCTCTCATGAATGTATCCCATCAGGGCCCATGGACTTGGGTTTGTCCAGATTGTTTTAATATTCCCTAACCTGATCCTCCTTCCCCAAGGTTAAGTCTTCCTTTCTCCCAGCTTTTCCCAAGGGTCTCAAGGTGCTGAGATTGATCAAAGCAAATCTTAAAGGTCAAAGTAAAGAAGACACTGAGTATCTCCTACTTCTCCATATTCTTTGTCAATGGGTCTTTTATCCCAATCCCCATATTTCCCCTAATCTTCCTTTTGCTGTCAATTTACCTGTAGAAGCCCTTTCTGTTGCTCACCCTATCCCCTGACAGGCTTTCCTAACCTCTTCTCTGCACGCTTATCTTTTTGTATTCCTCCCAGGTCACCTGCCCCTTTCACATCTTCTATACTTCTCATTTATATTTGAGTTTTGTTGGGAGGGACTTGCTCATCTATGCAGGCATCCTATCACTTTTACTCAATTTCCTGCATATCCAGATGGACAATTCTTTCAACCTGCAGGATGCAATCCTTAAAAATGAACCATTTGTCATCTCCCATGCAATTTTTTGAGAAGTTCCCTGAACAGGAGCTTAACTTACAGTCACTGCAGCCAACACTGCCACAGGATTCATATCCCTAGACAATTCCTCTTGTTTGTAAGTGTGAGGTCCTACACAGTACTGTCCTTCATTGGTTTCTTGATCATTTTTATCAGGATGTTATCATACATGCACTCTAGAAACATCCAACAGATATTGGAATGGTTGAATTATTTCTTGAAGACCAAGGATGGAAAGATGAAGATTCTTATAGTTGCCTGTGGAAGGGGTCTTTGTTTCCTCTTCCTTATCATGTAGTCTGTAGCAGGCACTCATCTAGCAGATATTCATCTGTCAGCTAACCCTGATCCATAAGCCTTCAACTGGTCATCTGGTCATCCATATGTCCCAAGGCACTATTCCATGCATTATCACTGCTCTCTCACAAGCCAGATTACTCCTCTCTTCACCGTCTCAGTCCTTCCTGAAGAACAAACACCCAACCACTGCAATGTTCCAACTGTGTGAGCTATCCCATCATGCCTCTGTGATCCCAGTGAGATCATAGCCCTGTAACTCCACACAGATGTCTAATTCCATCTGGTTTTCCCCTATGCTGCATGCATTAGTGTACAGACACTTCAGAGAGGCACACAGTTGTGTCAATTTCCCAGAGAGTAATCATATGAAAATATCTCATTTGTCTCATCTAGAGAAGAGAACACTTGCAATTATATTCCACCACTGAGAAATGACCTGATAGCTCTTCTTGACAATCACATCAGGTTAATTACGTTGAAGGCGACAGAACCTATTCAAAATTATGTGTTAAGCAGTGGACATGACTCAACACTCAGGGTTTGAAAAGAATATTCAGCTTTATTGCACTTGCTTTGTTATGTTATTAAAAAAACAACAAACCAACTAACCAAAAACTGACAGACCAAAAAAACACAAACAAAAACTCTCTAACCCCTCCAAAAAACACGAGCCCAAACCCAACCAACCAAACAAGAAAAAAAAAAAAAGCAACAGAAACAAATAAACAAACAAACAAACAAAACCCCCAAAGCAAAAACTCTCACAACAGTCAGGATAAAATGCATCAAAATTCATGACATTGATTCAGCATTCCAGAGAGAAAAACAATATAAATATACAGCAAGAGAGCATGTGGTAATGCTGGCTCAAAGGTAATGCTGAAGGTCATGTATGCGAGTCTTTCATTCAAAGCAGAAGTACCACCTAGGCTGTCAAGTCAGTCTAGGTTTTGTCAGGCAAATCTCAAAATTTTTAAAGGATGGAGGATACACAACTTCTCAAGCTGCAATTTATGGCCCGTGTTCCTTGTTGCATCATTTGTCACATCCATTAGGATGAGTTTGGATCCATCGTCTTTGTAATCTAATGTAATCTAGTAGTTGTAGGTTATTAGATCTCCCATCCCTGCATAAGGAGTTCAAATTGGACATTTGTAAAAGGTTCTTCACTTAGAGAGTGCTTGGGCACTGTAAGAGGCTCCCCAGGGAAGTGGTCACAGCCTCAAGCCTGACAGAGTTCAAGAAGCATTTGGACAGTACTCTAGGGAACATGGTGTGATTCTTGGGGATGATCTGTGCATGTTCAGGTGTCAGACTCAATGATCCTTTTGGGCCCCCTTCAACTCAGCATATTGTGTGATTCTGTAATTAAGTCTGTGAGATTTTAAGGGACACTTGGACAACTTTTAGTCATATGGTTCAGTTTCAGGTACTCCTACGAGGAACAGCACACTGGACTAGATCCAGATAGGTCTCTTCCAGCTTGAGTTACTCTATGATTCTGTGATACCTTAACCCCCTCTCTGGAGGAATAAATAGGTCCACACATCAGAAATTCATACCTGACCATCTGCAGAACCTTCATCAATTCCTCAATACCTTTCTTGAACTGTAGAGCCTATAACTGAAACCAGGATCCAGATATGGTCTCTCCAACACTAAAGAGAGTGAAATAATAGCTTCCCTCAATCTGTTGACCATACACCTCCTACTGTAGTCAAATGTGCATTTGTTTTTCTGATGATGAAAGCTCAGTGTTGGATCATTAGTACCTACTGTAAACACCAGGCCCTTTTGCTACCTCACAACCTGCACTGATACACAGGACAGGGCCACTCTGTTCCCAAGTGCAGAGATTTGCACTTCTTGAACCTAATGTGATTTATGCTGGCCAAGTTTTCCAGTAATTAAGTTGCTTCTGGAATGACTGTAGTATAACTTTCTGTTACTCTTTCTGTCACCCACAAGTTACTTTTTCTGCTACAAGGCTTTGGCCTTCCTGATATCAATCACAAGTGTCCAAACAGTATTGTTATACTTCTCCACCACTTCCTCTTGTTTCTTTTTTGCAGCCTTCTTGCTCTTAAATTGAGCAAAGACCATCTTGTTTAGTCATGCAGGGTTTTGGCCAAAATGTTGAATTATTCAAGAGATGTAAGCTTAAGATGATATTGAATGACTGGACATAATTATAAGTTCAAGTTATCGTCATAGATAAACAAAGACAAATGAACTTTCAGCTTCTTGTTACAATAAAACATTGGAAGTCCCACTGATTGAGAGTGGACATTTTGTGCAACTGGAGAAGTTGTTCTTTAAGCATCGGCAAAGAATAATAATGTAATAAGGTCAAATATCAGCAGAACGGATCTTAGCAGCAAACCTGAAAGAGAATGAATATGAGAAAATGGTTGTGAGGATTACAGTTTGCAAATATGTTTTGCAGTACTTTTTATGAAGAAAAAAGATCAGCAATGACGGTCTAATATAAACAGATGCAGGAGCATCAAAGAACATCACTGGTTATCACTGATGCAGAAAACAAGACCAAAAGCAGTTGGAAGTGCTAAGTGTAAGTTTGCTGCAGAAAAATCTGTACAATAATTGCCTCTTCACTGATATACTGAGGACAGGCTGTTGGCCCTCCACAGCTATATTTGGGTTACTTGACAGGGTTTTTCTATCAGGTCTCCTAGGGTGGTTTCTCAGAGGAACTGCTAGAACCTTCCTCTATGGGAATTCTGATGGAGCCCCATATCAGCTGTCTCCAGGACAGACTCACCATCAAGAATTGTGTGTTTCAAGTTACCAGTGCTAAGGAACTTTGCTGGAAGAGTGAGAAGTCCTGTGTTCCAAGCCTTCTTTGACAAATTTTACCATTTGCAAATTTTATCCAGAGCATATCTATAATAACTATCACTGAGATGACTCCCTTAGCCTAAAAAGTCATGCTCATTTGGTTATTGCTCCTTTCTCTCACTCAGCGATCTTCAGAAATCTTCTTTCCCACATGAGAACCATTCCAGTAGAAAGGACAGACTGTTTTATTGCTTTGGTTTTTTTGGGTGGTGTTTTGTTTCTGAAACAGATGTCTCTAATTTCATCTGAATACAGGTTTTTGGTTTTTTTTTTTTTTAGATGAAATTTAAATAAATGTAGAGTTATCCAAGGCTCTCCAGGACCCATCGTCCCTGAAGAGTTCCTAAGAAAGTTCTTATCCTCCAAAAAACTCCCATGCATTATGTCAATGCTTGTGTGATTTACAAACTTGAGGGAAAAGTGGAGGACGACAATTTGATTAATGTCCCTTCTCTCCAGTCATATCACTGGAAACCTGAAGAGATAACAAATAAAGAATATCTTAAATGGATGACACCACCTGCTTGCAGTCTGAGGGACAGGATTTGTAATTTTCTCTGTACTCAAGGGCTCACAGTTTTGGAGGAAAGCCTTCATAGGAAGGGAAGAAATTAAGACCTGCACAAGGGGGCAAAAAATTGCTGTTAACAGAATCAGCTATCTATACTGCCTGACTTTATAAAATCGACAAATCCTTGGTTCCAGAAGCCACAAATTCAATCCCTATTGGGATGATGGAGAACAAAGTTATTTATGTTGATTACAGTTGCTGTCATTTCCATAAGAGTAACAGTTAGAGAGGCACAGTTATATCTATGAAGGTAGTCACTGTCTTGAAGAACCAGAATTCAAGAGAGTGATTCAGTTGCCTAAACATGGGCATTTACTGTTTTATCAAAGACAGCCATGAGGGGCAGATGCTTAGGGTGAGGCTGCTAGAGGCCTGGAAGGGTATGCTTGGGTTTCTAAAATAGTATGTAATTCTTATGTTTAGGTGACTGACCTAGCATTTTCAATTTTTCCTAAAAGCTTCTACCTCTAGAAAATGCATTGCATATCTTAACTTAGAATGTATTTTTAGTCCAGCTATCAAAAATTATGAGATTCGTAGAATCTTAGTTTTCATGGGGTTTTATATGCAAACATAGTTTTCTGTATATCCACATTTTCTATTTAATAATTTTTGAACAATTCCACCCAATCTGACAGATGGACACTGGCTTCAAAGGCATTAACAACCTACAAGTGTCATGAAAATAGGCTGGATGAATGACCCTATTAGTGCCCTGACAAGAAAAAGAGCATGGTATGAATTTTATTATAGACATTGAGGAGCCATATAAGAGAGAGATAGTACAAGCACTCCAGCAGCATGAAAACTTCACGTGGCATTAGCAGATCCATAAACAGCATCAAATCCAACTATCGGGAGCCAGGCTTCATCCATTCCACTGCTCAGAGAGTAATCACACTTTTTATCATACCACAACCATTTCCATTACCACCATCCAAGTGACAAGGAAGTTTAACATGGTATAAGAAACAAGAGAAAACTTTAAAAAAGATAAAGGCTCTAAATCAAATGCAAAAACAAAGGTCTGCAGGGCCAGAGAAAGACTCAAGGTTTTATTCTTATGTATTCAATATATTCAAGGCAGAAAACTAAAATGAAAATAAATAAAAATAAGAAGTGTGTAGTAACACATTTGTATCTGAACCAAAAGAAATTTTCACAAGTACTCATAAATATCCAATGAATTTTTTTTTTAAAGTGTGTTAGTATCTGGCACTTCCAAAGTCTTGTGGAAACAATTCTACCACATCAACTGGTTGTCCCACACTTGTTTTTATGGGTATTGCAAATCTCTTCCTTTCTTGACAGAGGAAGCCCTTGGCACTCTAACTTAGTTTTACAAGTAAATTCCATGCAAATGAAAATTAATTGTTCCCCTAAGGTTTCTGCTGGGGTTTTTAATTTTTGTTTGTTTGCTTGTGTTATACCTATAAAAGGCAGCCATGTCCTTCTATACTTTAGGAAGTATTTGCATGTTGTCTTTGCTTTGCATAGGAAACTGATGACTGCTTGTAGATCTAGGGGAATAAACACACAAACATTTGTTTAGAGAGTAATTGCTAACAGATTCACAATAGTTAGAAAATGACAGAATCATACTATCTCTGAAATTTTCTTTTTCTCTCTGTACATTATGGTGCCATGTTTATGGAATGCTTTAACACATCATTTTATTCCGATGGAAACCATTTTGCCCACTAACTACTGTTGACTTTGTTTCAGATAGCTTGGTGACTATGGTTTCCTTTGCATCAGAACAGAGATTTTATCACAGCTGCTTAGACTGGCTGATTAGCAATTTAATGGGATTTAGCTGACCAGAAATGAAAGGACAGACAGCTCTAATGGCTAAAAGGCTGTTAGATTTATATAAGCCTTATTACTAAATGGATTGCCTCAAGTATTACAGCAGCCATTTCCTGAATTTTGAGCCCAAATGGATACATGCTTCTGCTTATACTGGAATTTAAGGAAGTGACAGACAGAAGGATTTAATTGGATTAGTCTACTGGTCTACAATATAAATTTAGTATAATAGTAAGTAATAGTATCCAATATAAAGAATTCCTTAGGCTTGGGGACCTAGAAATGTCCTACATGCAATAGTTCTGATTTTGGTGCAGTGGCGTAGGATGAGATATAATTAAGGGAACACACTGACTTAGTATGGATATAGGACTTATAGCCTTGTATATCCTCATTGAGAACAAGCTTTTATAAAGTGTAAGAACAGGATGATGCATAGAGGAAAAGGAATACAGTGAGCAGAAGTAATGATTTGATCTAAAGGACATGTAAATATTTTCATTACAAAGCATTCCTCACATTTTTTGTTTTATCTCCATACACTAGAATATTATATTTGATCTTTTCCCCATTTTACCGCTCTATTGGAGGTGTGGAGAAAAAGACATGCTGAAAAACTCAGTAGTTTCTGATGTGTTGTCTGATTAGTCATCCACGTACTGCTTTCTTACTAATAGAGATTCCTCAAAGTAATTCAGTAGAAACTTTGAATGGTTTGAAGCCCAAAGGTATCCTGTACAGATTTACTCATTCTTGGAATGAATGGAGCAATGAACTTAAATCTTCTGATGCTCAGAAAAATAACGTAAAAATACAACTCTATTTCTATTAATTTATTATTTTAAGGTGATAGAGATTTCATCTGAATGCTTGCTCAGGTATAAAGAAATGCTCTGCAGAAAAAATTACCTACTTCTTACCATTAAATTACCTGTACATTAGAACCAAAGGACATCCTTCTTCACCATCCTACTGTCAATAT